ACACACTGTAACCTGAAGGACTGAGGCTGTGAGTCGTGGAGATAAGATGTCCTACAGGCGAGGAACACTCAGGTTACAGCCTGAGACGGGTTGATGTTTGATCTTAAACAAAGAGGAGACATAATCCTGTGGGAGAATTCCATCAGAACCTGGATAAACGCTCTAAAACAGAGTTGATTTGGATTTATTAAAGATGCACATCCTGTAAGTATAGCAACTATGAAGGAGATCAAGAGCTAAAGAACACAAGTAAAACTAATGTAATAAAGGTTTATATTTAAACATCTGAGTGTGACCTCTTTAAACCTTCTTGGATCCAACAAGCAGCCAAATATTTTCCAGACTTGAGCAGAACCACAGGAAAGCTGTACCAAACGTCTGTCCTCTAAACACCATCGATAATACGCCTATTTTCTCAATTAGAACCCATCATCTTTAAATCTTTTGAAGGATTCACCACTCATTCTGACTGCTTCCTCTGGTGTAATGTGGTTTTCATTAAAAGTACAAACAGTTCTGTACAAAAGTTTTAAATCAGCTTTCCACTGTTTATGACAAAACATTTAAAGCAGGGCTGTCAAACGATTACAATTTTAGTCAGATTAGTCACAAGGTTGTTCTGTGTAATGATTTAAATTACATGTTATTTAATAAGCCATTAGACATAAGATTCCTTAGGAAATATGAAATCAACCTTATGGATATGTTGGGTACTGTTTAACCAGAAGACTGGAAATTTTTATTGCAGGGATTAGATAAAAGCTTCGTATTCACTCAGAAACAACAAAAGAGAGAGAGAGTCAAGTTTAAAAGTTTAAAGATGTATTACTAAACAAATTAAACTAGACTACCGTAAATCCTCTAATATTAGCCGGTATTCAATTAACGGCCGGGTATCATATTTTGGCCGGTGTCGGAGTTGGCGGAAGTGAATAATGGCCAGTAGGATTTTAGTAAATCCTTACTTTGGTTAAATAAATCAGTTGTTGAACCCCCACTCCTCTGTTTGGTCTCCTTTCTTATTACAGCCCACCACTTCCAGTCTGGGTTGTAACAATCTGCAGACAGATTTCTGAGTATCTCCTCCTTTGGTACACAGATCCTCACTGAGCCAAGTACTGTGAACAAATAGTTTCTCCATGATATTATCCAGCAAGGTCCCGTTTTTGTCAAAACAAGGGTGAGGTAATGAAAAAATAGAAATATTTCATTAAATTAACATTTAAATTATTTATATGCATCATTAAAATAAAAAAAACATGTTTTGAAATATATTAAGTGCACCAAACTTGACTCAGTCCATTCAACAATTCTAAATGGACAATTATGTAACTCATCAAGTAATTATTTGAAAGGATAATTTGTCAATTAAATGCTGAAAAAAATAAACAATACATTAATGAGGCAAGAACTTTTTAAACTTGAACATACCTACACCCACAAGTCTATTTTTATCTGGAGTCTCCTCTCAAGAGTGGCTGAAGTAATATTACAACTTTGACAGAATACAAATTCTCTCTCTCTCTCTCTGGAAGCCCCACTCTAAGGGCGTTTGCAGTGTATTAGTGAGTCATATATTGTACAACCACAGTCATATAGTTTTCAATCAGTAGTTTTATTTCAGTATGTATTTTTCCAGTATCACAAAAAATATAATTTTATATGGTTAAAACCATCTAGCTTATGTGCACTTTTTAAAACACTGCCCAGCAAACATTCGGACGTTTAATGACAGTTGAACGGTCACAACTGTAAAATAATATCACAGGAATTAGGAAAAAATAACATGACATCTACTCTATGTTCCTTGCCCAGACTCGAACCTGGATCCTCCAGGGGGAGAGTCACCCGCTCTCCCAGCTGAGCTATGACAGCAACTACTGAATATCAGATTTTTTTGTCTAGATAGGTAGAGGATAAAGTGTGGGGTAAACTAACCAATCAGAGAACAGAGAAGATCTGCCACAGGCCACGCCTCCAGAGTGCCAAAACCCCTCCTCTGCCGTGTGCTCATTGGCAACGCGCACACGCAGGTTTGTCACTTGTGCACGTCCTTGTGCGCTCACAGACACAGTTTGCTCCCTCTCAGTGCACAAATGACCTCTCGCCATGTATATTTTCACTCGCGAGTCCCGTTCACACTCGCGATGTGGACCCAATCCGCGTGCACGGGTTGTGGCACGCCTCTGACGCCATATTAAAACATCTTTGTATCTGAACGAGTGTCTTCTGAGGAATGTTTGGTAAAGTGCTCGAAACGTGGCAAATTCTGATTAGCCAAAGTTGGCCAAAACTCATAACATTGGGATTTATTAAAACAAGAATTACTTCCCGATTAATTCAGTTTCTAGCTGACTCTCGAACCAGCCAATTCGGGAACAAGCATTTTTGAAACCATCTCCTTTGACTTCCAGTCAAAGCCTCTGCAATGCTGCGGCTGATAGCAGACAAACGGCTCTTTTCAGAGCCAAGCAAACGGCCGCTTTAGTTGCAAAGAAGCATTCCAGCTTCCAGCCTTCACCTGGATGGATCTCAGACTAGACGAGTCCTATCGGAGCTATCTACGGGTTCCTGATATCAGAGGTTCACTCCACCGATAGTGACCATCAACTCCCTGGGTCACACGAGAACCTCCACACAAAGAGTGCGTAGACTTGGCACAGATTGCGCCAGATGATTTTTAAACAAACAAATCTGTAGTTTACTCACTAAACAGCCACTTCACTTTTACGACACAGACTTCACCATTTCTCTATGATCCAAAGACGGGTTTTGCTAAAACATCTAGCTTCCATTACAACATTTCACACATCACTTTAAATCACCTCATATCCATTACATCACATCTCATTATTCATATCTTGTCATGTATGATCGTTAGTTTAGGAAAAAGAATGAAATTATTTTTATAAACTATATACCTGACTCTGTCTGAATTAATACGAAGTGTGTTTATGGTCCCTAAAGAAGCAAAGAGCCCTAGAATCTTCTGATTAAACATTCAAAGATCAATCATGTTGATATTTCATATTTATATGGAATCATCACACCTTAAATTTTTAATTTAAACTTGATAACTACGTAAATTAGACCCAGCCATGTCTAGGCATAGTCAAGATGAACTGAGGTGAGGTGAAAAGCTTCTCTTTGGTCTCACACACCAAAATTTTAAATTCTCCTCTGAAATCTTAGACGTTCTGTCCTCCAGGCTAAGAGAGAGAAGGAACCAGTTTCCCAATGGTCGGAATCTCTGCTGGAAATCTTTTCCCCTGCAAAACTGGGAAATCCTTTCTGTGATATGCAAAAGGTGTGCAGCAAAGTTTTTACTTGTGTTTGTGCATTAGTTTGTCTGTTAACAGAGTATCTGTTGAGCCACTGGTTGGATCTTGACAAATTTCCCAAGAATGAGTCTTTTCCTCTACAATTGATTCTGTCCAGATCTAGATGGCCTCTACACATTATTAACATCAGAGACCACACAGACCATTCCTCAGATATTGAGCTGGGATTTAATGTGTTATTAGGCGTGAGTCAGACACAACTGACTTTGGGTACACATCAAGATGGATGTTTTTGAGTGAAATCGTTCATGAAGTTGTTTTCATAATTTAACCAAAAGATTGAAACTACAACATTTTTGCATGAGATGATCTCGTTTCAACTTCTAGTATCAAAGGTGATTGATGAAAGTCATTCCTTCATGGAATGGCTGGCCTTATTGACACCGTCGACCATGCTATACTTCTGTCCCGACTGAACCAGGTAACGTGTATGCAGGGAACTGCCCTGAACTGGTTCCGATCGTACAGAAGTTTTCGTGTGAGGCTGGGGAATTTCGCCTCTGAAGCCTCCTCTCTGCCCTGTGGTGTTCCCCAATGCTCTATTTTAGAACTTCTGCTTTTTAATCTTTACATTCTTCCTCTGGCAGCTATTTTTAGGCGATATGGCATGTCTTATCATTTGTATGCTGATGACTGTCAATTTTATATTTCACTAAAACCTCAAGAGTCCGTGCAACCGGCTGTGGATTGCCTGAATGAGGTGAAGGGCTGGCTTTATAATAACTTTTCACACCTGGTTTTGGACCTGGAGCTGCGGATGGACTCTCACGTTAGCCAGGTGGTTAGATCTTGCTTTTTCCAGCTTCGCCGGCTATCAAAGATGAAGTCCATCCTGACTAGACGTGACCTGCACACAGTGATCCATGCATTTGTGATCTCTCGCTTGGATTATGCGAATTCCCTTTTTTATGGATCTACATCTTCCTCGGTTGCGAGCCTACAGCTGGTTCAGAATGCGGCGGCCCGCCTTTTGAAGGACACCAGATGGAGGGAGCACATTACTCCTGTTCTGACCCAGCTGCACTGGCTCCCGGTGTGCTACTTCATCCAGCGTAAAATTTTACTTCTTGTTTTTAAGTCACTCTATCTTTATGCGCCTCTCTACTTGACTCAGCTGGTTCAGCCTTACGTACTTGGTCGAATTATTCGGTCAGCAGACCACCGCCTGTTACAGGTCCCAATTGTTCAGGTGAGGACACGAGGAGAACAAGTGTTCTCAATCTGTGCGCCTCGTCTCTGGAACCAACTCCCTCTAGCAGTGAGAATGGCCCCCTCTCTCTGATTTTAAATCACGCCTGAAGGCTCATTTTTATTCCTTGACTTTTACTTCAGCCTAATTATTCTTGTACTATGCCTCTGTTTTATTTTTATTGTTGATTTTATAGTAGTTACTGCACTACTTTTATTACTTTCTTCCTGTGTGTTGATTTTTATGCTCTTTTACTGTGTAGCACTTTGGTTGGCCTCAGCTGTGTAGAAATGTGCTTTATAAATAAAATGGAATTTTAAATTGTGCTGCTGACTAAAATTGTGCACAAATTGTGCCTCAGGTGTGCTAAAAACATGCGGTTTCCACCAAAACAGAGTTTTAACACTAGTTTTAGATCACTATATAACAGAAAGATCCAATAACTATTTAATAGTCAAGTAATGGATTCATTATGATTGTATTGTATTTATTCAGTAATTAAAATAATTACATGTTTTCTTGCTTTTGACGTGTATACTTTGAAAATTTCACTTTATTTGAAACTCGTGAACTCATCCCTTGTGATTAGGACAATGGCAGTTAATTTAAAACTAATGGTAAACAAGAAGAAGAGTTACAGTAAATAAGAGGTTTGCGTAGACGCACCCGACCAAACTATGAACGGGTCAGAAAGAGCAGAAGGACTGAGAGTGCAGCACTGCCCCCTGCTGGCTTCTTTCATCTCAGTGGTCCTTCCTCTCCACTCTGAAGCTCATGGTGATCACACCTTCGATCCCTGCCTGGAGCTCATCATGCTCCTGCACGGCAGAGACTCCTTTAGGGGTCCCGGTGAGGATGAGGTCTCCCTCCTCCAGGCTGATGAAGTCGCTGATGTAGCTTATCAAATATGGCACTGAGAAAATCATCTGGGAGGTGCAGCCGCTCTGTCGCAGCTGGTCGTTCACCTTCAGCCACAGCCGGACGTCCCCCGGGTCCGGGATGCGCTCCACGGGGATGAACTCGCTGACGGGGCAGGAGGTGTTGAAGGCTTTGGCCAGAGTCCAGGGTAAACCCTTGGATTTGCACTCGTCCTGGATGTCCCGGGCTGTCATGTCCAAGCACAGAGCGTAGCCCGCCACATGCTCCATGGCGCGGGACTGCGGGATGGCTGTGCCTCCCTTGCCGATGACCACCCCTAACTCCACCTCATGGTGCAGGTTGCTGCTGTACCTGGGGAGCAGGATCGGAGAGCCCTCTCTCACGTAGGCAGAAGGAGCTTTCAGGAACAGCACCGGCTCAGTGGGAACTGCATTTTTCAGCTCCTTAGCGTGATCCGCGTAATTCCTCCCAACACAAATAATCTTCCTTCCCCACTCCCAGAACCGACTTGTGTTCCGTGTTGTCATTATGTTGAATTTACCATGAGTGCGGCTGTAGCTCCTTTAAAGCAGTTGGTGTTAGTTTAACTCTACACTTTGACCCCACACGCTGATCAAACACGGGATTATTAAGCTACGGCAAGCTTGAGTGTACAAAACATGTCAAATCAAAACTAACATTACTCAAATATCACAGGTTTATGAGCATTACATAGTATCTAACATAGAAATTCAGGTTTTATATATGAATTGTATGTCATTATAGTAGAAAAATGAACAAAAATTTCTGCTTTTTTAAAAACAAACTGTAATCTCTAGATTTGATTAGTCAGGCCTGGGTAGGTGATGTTTAAAAGGGGGCGGTGACGGAACTAACTAACTTTTCTGGTTTAATCTGACGTGATAAGACTGTAGTGACTGTGATGTTATTGAAGTCACTAGTGGGGAGTGCCTGCACTCTAATAGGAGCCGCTACTGCGTTAAAACTCGGTACGCGAACACCGTTTTTCTGTTACGCTATTACGTAGCATGCTAGCTAACAGCTAACTCAGTGGTTACATCATGTTTGTTTGTGTCGCTGTGAGGTGAAGACTGTCACTGAAGTGGGCACAGCGGGCCTGTTTCAGAAGAGAACTGCGGTTTAATACATTAACTTTTAGGTGACACTTTAATCTAAATAATAATAACAACGGTTCAATTCAACATGAAGCTAAAGTGTTTTATTTAGGGGCAGCGATTACGATTAGTTGTCGTTATCAGGAAGAGCTGTCAGTGCTGTGTGAGAAGTTGTGAGGATTTAATTTTTGGGTTATTTATTGATCGACCGTGTCGTTTCTTTTGAAGCACCTGCTGAAGTCCGGGCTCAGACAGCTGCTCTCGTTCACAGCGCAGTGAGGAAGTCTCACCTGGTCCAACAAGACAGCATGAGGGTGGAGCTGCTCCCAGCGCTCAGCGACAACTACATGTACCTGCTGATCGATGAGGACTCCAGAGAGGCCGCTATTGTTGACCCCGTGGAGCCAATAAAGGTAACTTAAAAAAAAATGTAACTAACCCAGTAAAACATAATTGCAAAATCAAAATGCTGCTTAAAAGTAGCAAAAATATAATTATTATTTTAATCTCTACTCTAACGTTTTAGTTTGCATTTGCTTTCCATACTGGAGTATGTTTCCTTTTCCTTAAACATGCACGTTGAGTTAATAAGTGATTAGGGTGTTGACTATTGAGCGGTGAGACTGTGGTTATTTACATATGTTATGAATAATTTATAACCTTTTACTCAAACACACTTCACAATAGTCGCTGAATAAATCTCTGTAAACACCTGGAGGATTAATCTTAAGTGTTGACTCGTTCTTCAAAAACCTGGTGAAAAACTAAATAAATCTCTGGTCTGAAATAGATCAGGACTTAGACTTCAACATGTCTACCAGTTATTTATTCCACCCAACATCAAAATTGTTGTCCATCCATCCATTTTCTTTACTCACTTATCCTCGCGGGGTTGGAGGGGGGAAGTGGCTGGTGCCCATCTCCAGCAGACACCGGGCATGCAGGCGGGGTACACCCTGGACAGATTGCCAGTCCATCCCAAGGCAACACAGAGACACACAGGACAAACAACCAAGCACACACACACTCACACCTAAGGACAATTCAATGAGACCAACCAAGACATGGTTTTGGACTGTGGGAGGAAGCCGGAGCACCCGGAGAGAACCCACAAATCCACAGGGAGAACATGCAAACTCCGTGCAGAAAGACCCCAGGTTGGGATTGAACCCAGGACCCTCTTGCTGCAAGGCAACAGCGCTAACCACTTCACCACAGTGCAGCCCCAAAATTGGTGTTTGAGTCATAAACTGCAAATTGACTCAGTTTGTTTGATTTACAACCTGATAGTCATCCTTGAACTTAACTGATTAGTTGGACTCTTCTGTGCTTTGAACAGGTGGTGGAAGCGGTCAGAAAACATGGCGTTAAACTCACCACAGTTCTGACCACCCATCACCACTGGTATGCTGCATGTTGTGTGTTTACACGCACTACCATCACACACGGCTCTCACAACTCTATGTCGGAACCACTCAACTTCACAATGGTGAAAGCTGTAACTCCTCTGATGCAGGGATCACGCCGGTGGGAATGAGAAGATGGTGAAGCTGATGCCAGGGCTGAGGGTCTATGGGGGAGATGACCGTGTCGATGCCATCACTAAGAAAGTTTCTCATTCCAACACTTTTAAAGTGAGACCTTTTAGTCTGTTTTTTCCTTGGAAAGCTAGTCATAAATCCCCATTTTGGCTAACCTGAATGACTTTTTTTTCTGCTTAAAGCTGGGATCACTAAGTGTGAAGTGTCTGTTTACTCCCTGTCACACGACGGGTCACATCTGTTACTATGTTACTAAAGAGAACTCCTCTGATCCACCTGCCGTCTTCACAGGTACGTCCTTACCTGTGACTTTCACATGAACTGTCTGAGTCATTTTTGCACTGTTGATGTTGCCACCTCTCCCACGTGCAGGCGATACTCTGTTTGTGGCCGGCTGTGGTAAATTCTTCGAGGGCACGGCGGAGCAGATGTACAAAGCCTTGATAGAAATTTTGGGACGTCTGCCTCGTGAAACGGTGATTGTGCATGCTCACGGACCCGGGAAGTTTAAAAGAATGAAATATTGGAGCATAAATCTCATTGAAGTTGATTAAATCGAGTTGTTTTTTTCTTGTCAAAGCGTGTCTACTGTGGTCATGAATATACGGTCAGCAATCTGAAATTTGCACGCCACGTGGAACCAAAAAATGAAGTCATTCAGAAGAAGCTGGAATGGGCTAAGGTATCTTAGCTCGCTTGAATAACATGATACAAAAATCATAATCCTGTGAATAATTAGTTGTTTTTTTTCTGTAGGAGAAGTGCAGCAACGGAGAGCCGACCATCCCATCCACGCTGGAGGATGAATTCACCTTCAATCCCTTCATGAGAGTAAAGTACGTGCAGCCGAGCTGATGCTAACAGCATCTGAGAGTTTCAGCGTATCAGAGCTGGTCAAAGATCTGCTCGACTCATGCTTTATGTTTCTAATGTTTAACTCAGAGAGAAGTCGGTCCAAGACCACGTGAAGCAGATGGACCCAGTTGAGACCATGAGAAGTCTCCGGAAAGAAAAGGATGGTTTCAGAGTTCCTAAGGAGTAAAGCGTTCATGTCGACACTTTTTACCTGCAGGTTGACCATTATGGAAGAAAAACAACAACTCCTGCGAGCCTTTTGAAACGGTCACTTTGACTGATGGAGCAGGCGTAGCAGGTTTCTGATTAGTTTGGCCGATGTTGCTGTGCGAGTCAAAAGGAATATACGGCCATGAGTTGGAACGCTTTAAGGGGAAAATTGTATTTTAATTTGTAAATGTTAGAGTCTATTTAGAATGATGTTAATATTTTAAACTACTAAAAGTTTCATTTGGTGTTGAAATGATTCACAAGACACACAAAGAACAAATACCCAGTGTTATACGTACAATCTGTGTGAATAGATTTAGTCATTTCTTACTCTTCACATTGTTTACTTCCATAATCACTTAAAGCTGTATCTGGGTTAAACGCATCACAGTTGCCTTGTAGACGTGTGGCTCTGCATTACTTCTAAATGCTTTTACGTTCTTACAATCGTACAAAGAGTCCTGCATGATCTTTGTTTTAAGCAATAAACTCATCTGTTTGGAGAAGGTAAAAGAAGAAACCTGTGATTTAATCTTCTCATAAATAAACGTGTGATGCTGTACGTCATTAGTTGAATCATATGCTCACGTATGTTCAGTTATAAAACTTTATTTTTAATTAAAAATACAATCTGTAACGAGGAAAAACATCCACGTTCATGATTTGAACAAAACCTCCGAACATTTCAATAACTTCAAAATAAACATTTTGTGACAGAGTTGAACGTTTCTGGCTCGATAAAAATGTCTGTGTTATGACATTTGACACTGGATGATGTCGCGATAACTTCCTCTCCTGATAATTTAGGGAAAGCACAGTCAGTCGTGCCATAATAAACAGGCTGAGCGGACACAGTCAACACGAGGTATTTAGTCTCTTCACCCGTTTATCTTTTTCACCTGAAAAAATGCTGAAACTTGCAGACGCTCTAGCAGTTGGACGGACATGGTGTTTTTTAAGTTAAATAATGTGTGAGAGGTTAAAATTGTTTGTCAATAACTCGTTTAAGTTAAAAATATACTGAATAATGTTTATTAATGAACTATTGTCTTGAAGGGTCGCGTACCGCGGTGCGCATGCGTGTTCAGGTACAATGAGGTTAAAGGTGATCTCCATCCTGGAAGATAACTAAATGCACCTGGTGATAGAAGAGCAGAGCAAACAGGCCAGAGCTGTGGATCCTGCTGTTCCTCACCGGGTCAGACACTCATTTACTCTTCCTGCTGCTTCAACAGCGTAACTAACTACAACAGGTGAACAATCAAACTAGTAAAGTACATTCTTGCTTATGTCAACTCAAATAGGTGAACAAATTAGTTTAATTCTCATTTCAGGTGCATTACTTTTCGTTTGAAAATTGAAACCAGCAGATTTCTCTAAATCTTTATTTAATGCAATCTCCACTTTGCAGGAGGACAATAATGGGTGACAGAAACGACTCATTTTAGCCGGGACCAGGCTCAGGACAGAAAAGGCATATGGCCTGGGCCTTCCTAAGAGGTGGGCCTTCCTAAGAGGGACCAACAGAGGAGACAAAAGTAGTGGCAGCAATACAAACATGCAGAGTAAAGCCAGGGTGTCCTCCAGCAGTCTAAGCCTATTATAGCATAACTAAAGGGATGAGCTAGGATAACTCAAGTTAACCGTAACTAATAAATTCACCAAAAAAGGAAAGTTAGTGTTTAAAGTTAGTTTGCCTCACATGCGACAACAGGCTCCAGTAAAGGGAGACAGGAACTAGAGCCGTGCCCAGGACTTTTAAAATTGGGTGGCCCATGTGGGGTTCTTGTTTATGCATGGGTTGCAACGATGGTTGTGCTTATTTATTTATTTATTTATTTACACAAATCGTTTATTTATTTATTTACTTTCTAGTGAATTTTTGAGTTTCACATTGCACAATCAGCATTTTTTTTCTCTTCATCTTCTAGTTTTGTGGTGGTTAGCAAGTCACTTCTTGTTGCATTACTGCCACCAACTGGAGTTGAGAAGGACTCTACTATTTATGTGAATATGAAAAAAAAATTAAATAATATTAATACTACGGGCCTGGGCTAGAAAACAAGGTGAAAGGTTCATGCAACCACACACTATTTTGGAGTTTACAACCCAAGCCTTTTGTCAACAATGTAAAGTCAGTTTAAACTGGAACTTAGTGGGGTGGCACCTGGGGTAGCCAATCAGATTCTAAGGGTGGCATGTGCTACCCCAGGCCACTCCCTGGACACGCCCCTGCTAGGAACCCTAAGAACAGGCAGGCATTACTTTAGGCAACAGGTTGAGCGGGTTGTCCAGTAATCGGAAGGTTGCCGGTTCGATCCCGGCTCTGTTGTGTCCTTGGGCAAGACACTTAACCCACCTTGCCTGCTGGTGGTGGTCGGAGGAACTGGTGGCGCCTGTGCTCGGCAGCCTCGCCTCTGTCAGTGCGCCCCAGGGTATGTGAATGTGTGTGTGAATGGATGAATGATACACTGTAGTGTAAAGCGCTTTGGAGTCCTTACTCTGAGAGGCGCTATACAAGTGCGGGTCATTTATTCATTTAACACCTGCAGTCTGAGGGCAAAGGTCTGCTGGAACATCTGTAAGAACGAGATACTCTTTGCTATAACAGGGAGAAGGACATTTGTAATTTTATTATGGAGTTTATAGGGAGTCAAAAATAAAAATGGCTTTTGATCCAGATTTATTTTCACTATCACATGGAAAGAGTAAAATCTGAACCCGTACGGGTCAGAAGCAGTGTCCAAGATAATCTCTACTTTAACAAAAATAATGGATTTTACTAAAAATGGTCATTTTCATCAGGAGGTTTTGTATTTTCAGTGTTTTGAGTAAACTGATGGTAAATATTTACACCTGGGTATCAAAGGGGCCCAAAAATGAACATACTTTTTTATTTTATAAAGTTAAGTTAGACAAACTGGATTGATCATGAATTTATGTTTGTATTGTGTCGTTATCAGCTGCTGGAAATAGTGAAGAGAGAAGGCTTGTCTCTCATCGCTGTTCTCACCACACACCACCACTGGTAAGAGCTCCGTTAGGTTAGACAGCAGTAGGAGCCCGACTTGCTGCTCTTCCTCCAGCTGTTACTCCCAATAGGGACCACGCCCGTGGGAACGAAGCTCTGCGTAAGAGCGTTCCGGTTTTAAAGCTGTACGGAGGAGATGACTTATTCGAGGGGTTGATGGATAAAGTCACGGATGGTCAGGAATTAAAAGTAACCCAAACAGGAGAAAGATTGTTGCTGTTTGTTAGGATTATAAACTGACTATAAACACTAGTTTTAATATTTCCAGTTTAAGTCCATTAAGAAGTGTGTCTCTACTCCGTGCCACACCGCTGGTGAATTATGCTTCTATGTGTGGGAAGACGAGTGCAGCGACGCCCCTGCTGTGTTCACAGGTCTGCTCATGATGAGACTACAGAGCACTCTGTTGTTATTATGAGGAAGTGACCACCCCCTTGTTCTTTTATTTGGTTGCCAGGGGATACGCTGTTTATCGGTGGATGTGGGCGTTTTTTTGAGGGTACAGCAGAACAGATGCATCACAGCCTGACCCAGGTGCTCGGTTCCCTGCTTCCAGAGACAGTTATTGGGACGTCTTCTAGCTAGTGCTGTCTGATGGAATCATGTAGTCGTGGTGAGAAGTGGCTCGCTCTTTGCAGGTCTTCTGTGGGCACGAGTACACCATCAGGAACCTGAAGTTTGCTGTGCTGGTGCAACCGGAGAACAAAAAGGCTAAAGAGATGCTGAGCTGGGCCTAAGTGAGCAGCACACAGCTGAGAATAAAGATTTATTATGTTCAGGAAGAGAAAACACAAGTGCTAAAGGAGTGCCAGGCTGTTTGCTTTCACTAACGACACGAGTCCTCAAAGACGAATGAGACAAGTACAGTTCAAATGGATACAAGGCAGTTTCCTTGCTCTTAGCACCCCTAGTGTCCATTATTAATTATCTGTGGTCAAAGCAAAAGTAACACTTATCTCCTCGCCATGCGTTAATCTTTTTAACACATTAATCTAACAGCTGAAACGTCTCCTCAGCCTTCATTAGTGTCTACAGGAGTGATTCATCACTAAAATAAACAAATCAGTTGTGTTCGCAATCTAAAACATGCTGGAAGTAGACTGCAGCTCCAGGTATGTCAGCTGAGTTTTCTTAGTTCACAGGTGGCGGCCCGGCACTCTGAAGTTGCAAATGCTGTATTCTGGCCACAGAGGGCAGTGGGGGTCTGATTGACCTTTCATTAACCCTGTAACGCCGGGGACACACCGGCCGCGGAAGCGCCGCGAAGCGCCGAGAAGCGAATCGCTCACGAAATTTGGCCGCTACTCGCCGCTCCTCAGTTCAGATCAGACGCGCCCCAGTTGAGGCGCGCCTCGGCTCAGCTGTAGTTTTTCTTTTAAACACTTGGTGTCCTCCATTTCCTCTCTGCCTTTTCTCAGCTTTTTTCCTCTACGTTTGAGTGTTTTTGCGCGCGCGCGCGTACGTGTGTGTGTGAAATAATATTATAAATAAATTTTCCTTGAACGTGGACACACCGTGTGTGTGTGTGTGTGTGTGTGTGTGTGTGTGTGTGTGTGTGTGTGTGTGTGTGTGTGTGTGTGTGTGTGTGTGTGTGTGTGTGTGTGTGTGTGTGTGTGTGAACCTATGTTTCTGCCAGTTGAATCTCTTGGAACCCGCTCCAATTCTGCAGCTGTATCCTAGCAGTTTCTTCAGAAATGGGTACGTAAATAACCAGGTTTTTCGGGAGTCGTACAGCTCCTTGTGTTTCTCAACTCCCATAATTAATTTAAAGTCATCCATCTTAACTGCTTGCCTCAGACTTTCTGCCTCTGTCCTGTTTGCTCCGTGAAAAGACACCCAAAACCACACCCCTCTTCACGCGGTCACACACGCACACAAGTTCGATGTGTGTATGTGTGTGTGTGTTCGTGTGGTTTTTCTGCAGTGTCAGATTACAAACACATTTGATTGCGTAATTTTATTTTGAAATGCTTTATTTTGTTAACTTTACCGGCCTGCCTCTTATGTCTAGGTTTGACTTCCTGCCAGAATTGACGCGATTCACCCGCGGCTCGCGAAAAAAATAGAGCCGACGCCGAAATGATCGCTGCACGGCGCGAGCTGGAGCGCCGGCGCGAGGCGATTCGCGGCGCTTCGGCAGCCCATGTGGTCTATAGAATAGCTTAACAAGGGCGCCAAATGAAGGCGGTCCCATTTTCGCTGCGCTTCCGCGGCCAATGTGTCCCCGGCGTAAAGGGTCATTTTAGCATCAACTGGCTCAAGAAAATGGTCAAAAATATGAAAGTTAGCAAAATATATATTTAACTGTTTTAAAAAAGGCAAATTCATCACCTTGTGGCAGACATGGTTTACATTAAAAAATGATCAGTTTGAAATTTTGCTGCTATACTTTATACTTTACTGATGATTTCATCCATTAAGATAAAATGTTCACCGATCGCGCACACCAGTGCGGCTTCCAGACTGGCGTTGCAGGAAATAACATCACCCTTCTTGCCTTTGGATTTTCCAAAATGGTGGAAGAGCTTGAAGTGTCTGACGAGTCGAAAACCATCATTACTAAAACTGCTGATGCCATTCTCAATCTGTGCGCTGCTGTACTCACCGGTTCTCTTCGCATTGCTGCCTGGCAGACCCTTATCCAGCGGGCCTTGTGGCTCAAGGCCCTGCCCTCCATTCCTGAAAAC